AGCTGTGCAGAGCTTTGGATACCCACTGCCGGGGTGAGGATTCTTGGAAATCTACCAAGAGCTGAGGGAAACATGTAAGATAGAGTGGCTTCACCCTCAGCCCCCTAGAGCCAAAGAACCTCACCCCACTGGTCTCTGTGGTGTTTCCGGTCAGGGAGAGAATGCAGTAGAGCCACGGCTCCCCCAGCATCTATATGAGTGTCTTGGCTTCTTGGGCACAGTGTGTTACCCTCATTACTACCTAGTGGATTGTGGTAATGTTACTCACTGTTTGCTCCCTACTGGGAGTATTTGACACAGTCTCTGTGGCTGAGTCTTAAGGGCTACAGAGCTGATAAGTCTGCACTAGTTTCCTGTAGGTACCCACATTCCTTTTCATATTTTGTTCTCCCTGCAACCATTGATAGCTATTGAACAAACCCCTGCCCTCAGTAACCTGTCCCTTATGTGTCTCTGGGAATTGGCCTTTAACATAATGAAATGTATTCTCCCAATTCTGTATATACATGTACGTAAAACCTGTTTAATATTATTGAAAACTGAGTGCATGGAGAGGAGACTGGATCCCAAGATCACTTATTAGCCCTGGTCCCATAAGTCCCTGTGGCACTTACGATGCATTCAGTTTTCTGTTTGTGTAGGAAGCAAGATTACTGCAGAGCCTAGTTCTACTGCATTGCAGTGCATAAACCTCTGCTTGCCAGTGAGTCAGTTATGGATTTTTTTTGAGACACTTTGAAAGCTTCTAAAACTGAAAACAAGGTTTTTGCCTTGTATGTGCCCAAATCCTCTCACTTTTCAAAGAAATGTTCACTTTTTCCCAACCCTTCTAAATCTGAAAGCTAAAAAGGAGTTGGACAATAAGTTCTTCTAGTGTGTGATAGTCTGCTGCACTGTCCATGGAGAGCGTATTATTGGCATTAAAGATCTAGGAGCATTTGGCCCATCAGAGCCATTCCAGGTTCCAGCAGGATCTCTTTGTGTTGTCAACCAAAAGAACGCTCCCCAGACAGCAAGATGTTATAGACTGCTGACCTGAAGGCAGTAATTCTCCTGGTATCTGTGGCTATTCCCTGGTTCCGTTTATCTCGCTAATGTACACTTCTTTGCCCTTAAAAAGAAAAGGAGTACCTGTGGCACCTTAGAGACTAACAAATTTATTTGAGCATAAGCTTTTGTGAGTTACAGCTCATTTCACCAAAGCTTATGCTCAAATAAATTTGTTAGTCTCTAAGGTGCCACAGGTACTCCTTTTCTTTTTGCGGATACAGATTAACACAGCTGCTACTCTGAAACCTGTCATTATTCTTTGCCCTTGTGATTAATTTCTAGGTCTGTGAATGATAAGGAGGAAAGGGACAAGAGGTTAAATTTAGGCCAGTATAGTCATTTGATCAGTCATAATGGAAGATAATTTTTTTTTAATGTCCCTGTATGCAATAACAGAGAGAATTTGTGAAGGTGCAGGGCCCTGTTCTCCTTTTTTGTGTGTAGAAAGCCCTGGAAGGGAAGGCCGCAGACTTGGATACAGCAGTGATGAATCCATATGGCGCCTAGACAGCTCATTCAGCCACTTTTGCTCTGATGCAAGTTCCCTTGCAGCAGGTATGGGTGACAGCAGAATGAAGCAGTGCCTAAACCTAGCACAGCCCCCCACACACAATCAACACATTGCAGCACAACAGTCTATCCCTGCCATTCTGCCATTACCTGGGCTGCTGTCCTCTGCTGTATGTTAAATGCATGGAGCACAGTCTTTCTGCACACTGTCTTTCCATACTGTGCAGCAGGCCCCTTAGTTACTGTTGCATTATATTTTACAATATGAACTAATGACCCAGAAGTGACACATTAAAGCCAAATAAATTATCACGGACAGGAGGAGCTAAGGGGTTAATGACATCCTGTTCCACAGAGGGATTGAATTGGTTTTCAAGTGCGTTTGTATCAGTGACCATTTAAAACTATTTGACACAATAGCATTTTTAATATAACTGAAAGAGCACAGGAGGTTATTTTAATTAAAGGGAGGTGATACAGAGCAATGTATCTAGTTCCCTCTACTTGCCACCATTTTATAGATTAACCTTCCCCAGTTATTTGTAAGATCAAGCAGTAAAATTTATCATTCTAGATTCATAGATAGTAAGGTCAGAAGGAACCATCATGATAATCTATTCTGACCTCCTGTACAACGCAGGCCACAGAATCTCACCCACCCACTCCTGCGATAAACCTCTCACCTATGTCTGAGCTATTGAAGTCCTCAAATCATGGTTTAAAGATTTCAAGGTGCAGACAATCCTCCAGCAAGTGACCCGTGCCCCATGCTACAGAGGAAGGCGAAAAATCCCCAGAGCCTCTTCCAATCTGCCCTGGAGGAAAATTCCTTCCCAATCCCAGATATGGCGATCAGCTAAACCCTGAGCATATGGGCAAGACTCACCAGCCAGATACCCAGGAAAGAATTCTCTGTAGTAACTCAGATCCCACCCCATCTAACATCCCATCACAGGCCATTGGGTCTATTTACCATGAGTATTTAAAGATCAGTTAATTGCCAAAATCATGTTATCCCATCATACCATCTCCTCCATAAATTTATCGAGTCTAATCTTAAAGCCAGATAGGTCTTTTGCCCCCAGTGCTTCCTTTGGAAGGCTATTCCAGAACTTCACTCCTCTGATGGGTAGAAACCTTCGTCTAACTTCAAGTCTAAACTTCCCGATGGCCAGTTTATATTCATTATGTGTATCATAGTGGTGCCCACTGGCCCTAATCCAGTGTCATGGCTCCATTGTACTGTGTCTTATGCACACAACAGGAACAAGGTTCCCAACCCAATTTATGCCGCTACGCTGTGTTGTCTTTATTTGTTTTAAAGTTTTAACTGAGAATCAGGATTTTAAGCATATACAGCTGCAATTCTAAGGTGTGCTGTATCCTCTGTGAATGCAGCGTGACAGGAATTCCTGACAAAACACTCCAGTTTCCTTGTGTCATGCTATCAGATTTTCCTGCTTTTGCAGGTTATTAGAGTACCTGTCTGGCATCCTTGACAACTGCTCCCCAGCTTCCACTAGATGCTAACAGCGTTCTTCCTGGCCCTTCTTCAAAAGTCATGAAACAAAAGAAGAAGTCAGTACTAATCAACACAGCACATAAACCTTTTGGTATTAAGAAATGCTATTTTATGATTAACAGCTGTAGGTCACAACAGTGTTTGTTACTGAAGTGTTGTCGCCAGTCATATTGCTTTACATGAAATGGCCATTGAACAATCAAAGAATTTTCTACTTACATCACATGTTCTGCAGTGCTAGTAATATGTGAGTAATTAAACTCAAGATGTCAAAGCACAAGTCCAATGCCTGGGAAACAAATCACCCTATCAACCAAAAGATACAATTAACGTAATTTGTATCTGTGATGTTATTGACAGGAACTGTGACCATATAGAGCAGGGGTGGGCAAACGTTTTGGCCTGAGGGCCACACCGGGGTTCCGAAACTGTATGGAAGTCTGGATAAGGAAGGCTGTGCCTCCCCAAACAGCCTGACCTCTGCCCTCTATCTGCCCCCTCCCACTTACCGCCCCCCCCAGGACCCCACCCCCATCCAACCCACCTGTCTCCTGACTGCCCCAACCCCTATCCACACCCCCACCCCCTTACAGGCCCCCTGGGAATCCCACACCTATCCAACCGCCCCCCCCGTTCCCCATCCCCTGACTGCCCCCTGGGGCCCCCTGCCCCTTATCCAACCCCCCTGCTCCCCGCCCCCTTACCATGCTGCTCAGAGCACCAGGACTGGCAGCCGCGCCGCCCGGCCGGAGCCAACCACACTGCCACACAGTCTAGAGCACGGGGGCAGGCCGGTGACTCTTGCAGCTGTGCTGCCTGACGAGCTTGCAGTCCTGCTGCCCAGAGTGCTGGCAGCACAGTGGGCTGAGGCTGCGGGGGAGAGGGGACAGCAGGGGAGGGGCCAGGGACTAGCCTCCCCAGCCAGGAGCTCAAGGGCCGGGCAGGAGAGTCCCGTGGGCCGGATGTGGCTCGCGGGTTGTAGTTTGCGCACCTCTGGTATAGATCAGTGTTACACCTGGTCTTGTATAGAGGAGGCCAAGTGGAGTGTCTATGGAAAGGTTGTAATTTGCTGGTTATAGTTATGCTTTCTGTAGGTGTGTGTCATTTTTGTATTCGAAGTTATGAATATTGGCTATGTACTTTTTTGATTTTAAGTAGCCTCAGTGAAGCATTTGGTCAGCTTCTTGAGAAAAGACTATTCTCAGTAAGTGCCCAATCAAGAAACAGTTAAACTGACAATGGACTTTGAGAGACACCACTCCACATCTGAGCTTTCCTGGGAACGTTCAAACTAACATGTAAGCAATGGCGTCGGCCTGTAAAGAACTGCGTCATGCATGGACATGTGACTTGCCCATGTCACTCCAAAACTCTATCTTGTAGCTGTGATGCTACATAGGAAAACAAGGGGTTTCCACCCACAAGAGGGACTATATAAGGCCTGGGGAAACCCCTCCATCTTGTCTTCAGCTGGTTCAAGAGAGAGCCTCTCCACCCCAAAGTGATGCCTGAAAGAAACTGGAACAAAGGACAGTAACTACAGAGGTGTGAGTGATTGCTGGACTCAGACTAGGATGAAGTCTAGTCTGCAAAAGAAGCTTATTGGAACACCTCTGAGGGTGAGATTTACCTGCATTTAGTTTCTTACTATATTAGGCTTAGACTTACGTGTTTTATTTTATTTTGCTTGCTAATTCACTTTGTTCTGTCTGTCATTATTTGGAACCACTTAAATCCTACTTTTTACTTATTTCAGAGTAACAGCCGTGTTAGTCTGTATTCGCAAAAAGTAAAGGAGTACTTGTGGCACCTTAGAGACTAACCAATTTATTTGAGCATGAGCTTTTGTGAGCTACAGCTCACTTCATCGGATGAAGTGAGCTGTAGCTCACGAAAGCTCATGCTCAAATAAATTGGTTAGTCTCTAAGGTGCCACAAGTACTCCTTTACTTTTTACTTATTAATTAACCAAGAGCAAGTATTAATTCCTGGAGGAGCAAACAGCTGTGCATATCTCTCTATCAGTGTTATAGAGGGCGAACAATTTATGACACGTTTCAGAGTGGTATCCGTGTTAGTCTGTATCAGCAAAAACAATGAGGAGTCCTTGTGGCACTTTAGAGACTAACAAATTTATTTGGGCATAAGCTTTCGTGGGCTAAAACCCACTTCATCAGATGCATGGAGTGGAACATACAGTAAGGAGGTATAGTAAAACAGATTTATTTGGGGTTTGGATCCCATTGGGAACTGGGTATCTGGGTGTTGGAGACAGGAGCACTTCTTAAGGTGTTTTCAGTCAAGCCTGCAGCTTTTGGGGAACATGATTCAGACCTGGGTCTGTTTGTAGCTGGCTAGTGTGATTGGTACAACCAGGCAAGGTACTGAGGTCCCAAGCTGCCGGGAAAACGGGGTCAGAGGTAGTCCCAGCACATCCGGTGGCAGTCCCAAGGGGGTTTCTGTGACCCAACCTATCATAGTATCCTTCCTTGTGTTCTGCATCTTGACACAGTGGGATGGTGAGGGCGGTGTGGGTGTGTGCGTTCGCCAGTGAAACTGAGGGCTGTGCCAATGGGAGTTCTAACTCCTGTTAGGACCACCCACACAGAGGTCAAAGGGTAAACACCAGATGAAAAGACTATGGGTCTTCCAGGTTGAGGGTTGAGCAGTAGGCCAACAACCTGTCCTCATAAACCAGTTAAGTTATAGAAACACAACAAAGTTGCCATTTTGGGAAACAGCATGATGTAGAGGAATGGTGAAGCCTTGTTCATTTTCTAACATCTGAGAGCACAGGAAAGATTCAGATCAGACTTATTGTATATGCTAGCCATAAACCAAACCACCCACCATTCCTAATTTAAAGTATTCCATGTAAAATTAAATTCAGTGTCCCATCTACTGTATGTCTATCTTTACTCCTTCCATGCCCAGAGAGAATGTGGTCCCACTCAAGTTGCCCACTGCCCATTCCTCATGCAGGAGACCCAGTGCAGTGCCAACAATCAACAGGTGGTAATTCCAGTGATGAAGTCCTTATGCTTTGGAGTTACATGCTATGACAACTGAGGGGGTGAAATTTTTATATACATGAAAATTTCAGCACTGAAGCTTATTCCTGCCGCATTTGTGTCAAGTGCTAGAACCTGGGCAGAGATGCAGAGCTATTTGGCTGAATCACCCAGCCAGATCATTATATTATTTTTTGACCAACAAGTATAAAAGGAGTTTAGTGTCTGAGGCAGAGGAATTAGGAGCTGGAGATAGGAATCCTGCAGGGAGAAACCCTAGGAATAGCCAAGGTAAGGGAAGAATCTTAACCTAAGTTTGTTTCAGTTTAGAATAAAGGTGAACTCCAGGATGGGGGTAAAATTGTACTATATGCAGTGTGTGTTTGCTGCTAGGAAGAGTAACACCATTTTCAGTTTGGTTGGGAGAGAGAAAGTCACTGTTCGGCCTACTAATGTGTAAATGGAGAAGCTATTCTATCAACTCCCACACATTACCATACACTCTCATGGTGTAACAAAGAGTAAATATAGATGACAAGTTCAGTCTGCAAAAGTTAGTTTCAGACAGCATGATGACAGAGTCAGGAATACCGTATTTTGCCCTTTCAAGTGAAATAAAGCAGGCACTAGGAGCACTGGTAATAGAATTAGGATGATGGAGAATGCTGTAGTAGAGAAACCAAGAGCAAATATCAAGTCAGTCTGCAAAGCTCTGATGATCCTTATTTATCTTGAATCCACTTTAGTAGTTTAATGTACGTCAGTGTAGTCTTTGTCCCTTACGGACTACTGTTTCTCGGCAGGTACCATATGCAGTTTAATTGGCTATAGTATTGCTGCTGGTATATTTGCATTGACAGATTTTTCTCCAGTTCCTACCAGTTTGTCTTTTGTTCTAAATAATTTAGTTATTGTCAACACAGTAAAAACTTCAGCATCTATTTTCTTTCTGGAAAAGCAAAGACTCTCTCTCTCTGTTGTGGTTGTTTGCAAATGAAGCACAAGATGCTAAGTGCTGTAGTTCTTGCCAAATGTTACCTGCGAATGATCGTATCATACTGTTATATAGAGCCCATAATTAGAGAATCTCCAATCACGCTGCAAATACTAATTTATCAGTTCTCAACCCCCTTACTCCACTGTGAGATAAATAAATATTCCTATTTTACAGAGGCGGTGTCAGGAATCGGAGCCTGTAGCAGAGCTAATCTCCAGGCAGCCTCTGCAGTACAGCTGGCCTGCAGCAGGCCCCCTGATTGGGGCCAGCAGGCTGGATCTTAAGCCAGCAACAGCAGTAGGTCATTGGCTTTCAACGCTCATGCCAACCACTGTGCCTGCTCCTTTGTTACCTTGTTCCTCCTGCTTCTGCCTTCCACCCAGTATTGGCTTTGTCCTACCCCTGCCCAGGGGCGGCAGGTTTGTAGAAATTTTGGTGGTGCTCAGAACATCCAGAGCCCACCCCCTCAAAACTCTGCCCCACACCTGTCTCAGGCTCTGGGAGGGAGTTTGGGTGGGGGTGGCGGTCTGGGGTGCAGGCCCTGGGCTGGGGCAGGAGATTGGGGTGGACGGGAGTTTGGGTGCAGAAGGGGTGAGAGGTTGGGCTCTGGGAGGGAGTTTGGGTGGGGGAGGGGATTTGAGGTGCAGGCTCTGGGATGGAGTTTGTGTGCTGGGTGCAGGCTGGGGCAGAGGGTGGGGGTGCAGGAGGGGGTGAGGGATGCAGATTCTGGGGTGGAGTTTGGGTGCAAGCTCTGGGCTGGGGCAAGGGGTGGGGGTGCAGGCTCTGGGAAAGAGTTTGGGTGAAGGCTCTGGGCTGGGGTTGGGGGTGCAGGGTCTGGAGAGAGTTTGGGGATGGGAGGTGGTGCGGAGGGATGGGGGGTGCAGGCTCTGGGAGGGAGTTTGGGGCCAGGAGGGGGTGTGTGGGGATGGGATGCAGGCTCTGGGAGGGAGTTTGCTTGGTCCTGGTTTTGGTTGCTCGGCATCATTGTTTATGGCCTGTTTTTCATGACGTGAAGCCAGAGTTCTTGCGTGTCTTTGTGTGCACACTGACTGGGGTGTACGTAAATGTAGGTCAGGTCCCCATTTCCTTTTATGTAAGTCAGAAGTTTAGTTTAATATGACCCACTGGTGACACGCATGATAGTGGCCGAGTTAATGCTGCCATTCACTGAGGGTGGTATAAACTGTCTCTTTATGGAACCAAAATGCTGTTTGCCAGTCACCTTGGCCACTGGGCATCCCTTCTTTGTCTCATTTATTTAGATTGCAAATTCCTTGGTGCAGGGACTGCCTTCTGGACTGTGTATGGTGCCCAGCATAATGGGGTCTTGAGAGAAGGTTTTGGGTGCTACTACAGTATAAATATTAAGTAATTATGGGAGGCTGCCATCCACTCCATTGCAAATGGCGTCACTGCAGTTGTGGGACTTCTGGGAAATCAGCGGTGCCACCCACTCCTGAGCAGAGTTTAGGCCGAGAAAGGAATACTGCATCACAGATCAGCATCCACTAGGGATGTGGGATCTAAAAAATCTGTGCTCTCATAAGATGACATAGTTATTACTAAAGTGCACCTACTGGCCACCCAGAATTTTACAGTGATAGTGGGGTTAGAACTCAGATTCCTCTGCTTTAAAAGCACAACCCTTAGCACTTGAGATAATGCTCCTTTAACTGGAGTAATATTAAGACTTACAACCCACGTGTTCAGGTTTAATTCCATCCAGGAGAGGGCAGTGATACACATACACACGAGCCAATATTTTACATTTTCCCCACACTTAAGCAAAGCTTATCTGGGGTTCACAGACATACAGATCAACCAGCTGCAATAGATTTCTGACTCCCTCGGACTTTGCTGTATTGCACAGTGTGGCCACACAGAACTTCATAGCAACAACAAGGATTGACCAGAGATGGTTCTATTCCAGTGGAGCAGCACCTACAACTTCAGCTACAGGAGAATCCTTTACCTCTGGTATTATGAGGGCTGAAGCTCTGCCACTCAATTGATCAGTTCAGATTCCATCCTGTAGAGAGGAGTGACACACCCACACCATACGGTCTTCCAGGATGTTATAAGGTCCATCTGAAATATGTTCAAATGTCATATGTTCAAAGGGCTTTGTTGGTTTCCCTTTGTTGGTTATTTTGATTGTTTTATTCCCATTGTATTCTCTCATCTGTCAGCCAGAGAGATTTATTTATATATAAATAAATAATATAAATGAGCATTTCTATCTCCCCAGTTACATGACACGTAATTAGTTTTATTCACAGCAGATCTGAAGTTTTATATTATACGAGCACCTGATACAATCAGGAAATGTTGTTATACTTCCCCCTGCTCTCTCCATTTGAGTCTCATGGTTGTGGTAATGGTTAGATTATTTGGTCCCTTTTGCTAAGGACTCAGGAGTGCTCGCTTTAAAAGCTAACTGGAGTTTTCTAACCCTTCCAAAGCTTGAACTGAGGACATATTTTTGTTTGCCCTCAGCATCTTCAACTGCTATTTTCACCACTTCTGTTCCCTCCTGCCCCTCTCAACCTTGTGACTTTTGGATAGTAGGGGCTGTGGCAAGGTCTCTCCACTGACACAGTGTGAATTATAGGTGCCATAACTAGGCAGCCCTTTCTTTTGGCTAAAGTTATAGATAAATTATTCTATGTGAGAACTCCATGGTTCGAATGGTCTTAGGGTTAATTGTCTTCCTGAACGATTGAAATTCTGTTGCTCCAGCTGGAAAGCTGTGGGAGAAAGTAGGCAGGCTTGTTTAGCAGACCTGTAGTCTCATCCTCTGGTACAAGAACACTAGTTGTTTCTACGGTATGACAGGAAGGACCACATTCTTAAAAAGAGGAGGCTTGAGCTGCATACAAAAACAACTGGCACTAAGAGTCTATCAGACTCAGTGTTGCCGCGAAGGGTTTTACTGAGGCTCATTAGGTTGGGATAGATTGTTTTCTGACTGTCTGTCCATATGGGATGGTCTATAGAATTATGTAGGAAATGATAACTCTTTTCTATGTCTTTTTAACTATGCTGTAGAATTTACAGAATTAAATCCCTTCTATTAGATTAAAAACCTCTAAAAATAATATTATTCTCTACGCCACTCTAGGTTTTAGAGTAGTTTTTATAGAACCTCATTACAGCTCTATAGAACTATATTTGGTTTAGTGCCTGTTAAATTAAGTTTTCCATAAGGGTGTATGATAGGGTGTGCACTCCACACTAGCCCTGATGGAGTTAACGAGGACCTGAGAAGGCCAGTTGGGTTATCTGGAGTCACCTGCAAGAGGGAAGGCCAGAGTTAATTAAGAGAGAAGCCCAGCTGGGACACTGTAAAGCCAGGAGGCTGAAAACAAAAGAAAGCTGCAGTCGCTCCTTGTGATGAGGGAGGTCATCAGGGACAAGGAGGAATTCCAGGGTGAGAGTAAGTCCTGAGATCCTGCCTGGGGGTATGGAGTCTAGCAAGAGGCTAGGAGGGGGTGAAGTAACCATGGGGAGTAGAGTAGGCTCCCATGGTAAACCCAGAAATAGACAAGTGATGACAGAAAGCTGTGTAGGAAGGAGCTCAGGGAAACAGCAATAGGGACAGGGATTGAGCAGACCTGGATTGCTGGTGATAGGGTCCCTGAGCTGGAACTTGGTTTAGCAGACACGCCTGGGTTCCCCTGGTATAGTGGCACAGAGCCCCGAGCCGGGGCTGAACATTGACCAGAGCAGGCCATCCACAGGGGGAAATTCTTCCCGGCTCATCTCTAGCCATTTTAAATCCATTTTGCACTGTAGGATTTAGCAGATGGGAGAATCCAGCCATTGGGCCTGATTCTCCTCGTTCGTATAGTAATTCTAAGCCAGTGCATCTCTTTTAATTCCAGTGGAGCGATTTCTGATTCATCCCAAGCAAGGGGAGAGTCTCATATATCGAGTGCAGAGTGGGAGTGTCTCTTCCTTCTGTTAGGGCAGAAGGCTGCCAGGAAAGCAGGGGTTTGGAGAGAATTTCTCCTTTGAGTTCTGGGCTAAGATAAAAAGAAACTTGGGTTGGGAAAGCATGATGAGAAGATGAGCCTTCTGTGGGCTTCCTGGAGAGGGAAAGTTAGGAAACAAAAGGGAATTTTCTTTGAGACGTGTCTCGGGTAAGGAATTTTCTTCAGTACAGTTAGCTGTGGCTGTGAGTTGGCTTGAATTAATCTGATATATGTTAGTGAGTGGAGGAGTTAATTTATTCTAACAGCAGTTTGGTAAAGATGTTCAATCCTTGGTTGCAAATTGGACAAAGGGGGGAAAAAGAGAGCTACTGATTAGCTAAACTGAATTTAAAATAGTGGTGCAGCCTGTGTTTGATTAATAGACCGTTACAAAATGTTAATTTACAGATAGACTGAGACTATCACTGTGTGTCAAGCCCCCTCATTTCCCAGGACTAGGACAGCAAAAGGAAGTCTTCAGGGAATCCCAAAGTCCAGCAGGGAACTTGGAAGTCTACAAGTAGCTACCAACAACTTCAAGGCTTGCAGGGTCAGATCCAATATAAAACTATTCCCATTATGTGAAGCAAATGCCTTTGGAGAGGAATATAAATGCTATGAAGCATTCTGAGCTCTGCGTTCTTTATTAGAGGCTGAACTGAAATAATGAATTAGAAATAAGAGGCATATTACAGAAATGAACTTCAACCCATTCAAGACATCTTAAATAGAACAGGTTATAAAAGGTGGTGATGTTTCTGCACTATAATAGGAAATATTCCTGCCATTTGATGAGAGACTTACTCATCATTTATTGATTCTATGAGCGCTTAAGAGGTGAAGAGTTAATAGCTTAATAGGCTGCCTATAGCCTTGAATGTGCTTACTGAGCCGTTCCAACCCTCATTCATATTACGTGTAATTGTCTTCCTGAAGCAGAGGATATTTTTATTTGTATAACCCCTCCTTAATTTGTTTCACTCATTATAATGGTGGTGTTTCCCATGTTTACTCATCACTCAATATGTTAATAGAATTGTCTGTAAGGAGTTTGTCTTTAACATGTATTAGAAATTTTTATTAATGTATAGGTCACATTTTCAGCTAAACACTCTGGAGTAGACCTTTCCTAATTCATTTCTAGGTGACTTGCTGTCCTTGAAACCCACTTCCTCCAGCTACGTTTCCATGGCTGACCTTTACTCTGGTGCAATCTACTTCACCCTTTCAACCCTACCTCATTCTCATATCTAAAAATCTGTCCTCCCAAGTCTCATATACAGTATATATTTTGTGAAAGCAACGAAGAAGCCTTCTATGTTTTGCCCCATCTTTAATTGGCTTTGGCCTTCTGGGTGCACAGAAGTCTTTGGGCCAAAGATGCGGCTTGCCATGATGAGCCCTTACAGTGCAGGTTGGCTGTGATGTTGACAAAATGCAGGGATGCTCTAGGTTCTACTGTGTGTTGACCCTGTTTTGGCTGGTTCCCCTGCAGGACACTAACAGCTTTTCATTGCCAGAGTCTGTTGAGGAGGATAAACAGTGCTACTGAGCATGCCAGAGGGGAGTGTGTGCAAAACCACACTGGAGGTCTGGCATAGAATCATAAAATGTAGGGCTGGGAGGGACCGCAAGAAGTCATCAAGTCCTTGCTTTGAGGTAGGACAGGTTTTTTCCAGCCTGTTCTTAAAAACTTCCAGTGATGGGGATTCCACAACCTCCTTTGGATGCCTATTCCAGAGCTTAATTATGCTTATAGTTAGAAAGCTTTTCCTAATATCTAACCTAAAACTGCCTTGCTGCAGATTAAACCCATTACTTCTTGTCCTACCGTCAGTGGACACGGAGAACAACTGGTCCTCATGGATGATTTAGTTGGGGATTGGTCCTGCTTTGGCAGGGGGTTGGACTAGATGACCTCCTGAGGTCCCTTCCAACCCTGATATTCTATGATTCATTCTGTTTGTAACAGCCCTTAATATGTTTGAAGACTGTTCTTGGGTCCCGCCGAGTTTTCTTAAGACTCAACATGCCCAAGTTTTAAAACTTTTCCTCAAAGGTCAGGTTTTATAAACCTTTTATTATTTCTGTTGCTCTTCTCTGGACTCTCTCCAGTTTGTCCACATCTTTCCTGGAGTGTGGTACCCAGAATTGGATGCAGTACTCCAGCTGAGGCCTCACCAGCGCCGAGTAGAGCGGGGCAGTTGCCTCCCATGTCTTACGTAGGACACTTCAGTTAATATTCCCCAGAATATTAGCCATTGTCACAACTGAATCACCTTGACTCATATTCAATTTGTGATCCACTATAACTCTCAGATCCTTTTTCAATAGTACTACCACCTGGCCAGTTATTCCCCATTTTGTAGTTGTGCATTTGATTTTTTTCCTTCCTTTGCACTTATCTTTATTAAATTTCATCACGTTGATTTCAGACTAATTCTCCCATTTGTTAAGGTCCCTTTGAAATCCAGTCTGGTCCTCCAAAGTGCTTGCAACTCCTCCAGCTCGGTGTCATCTACATATTTTATAAGCATACTTTCCACTCCATTATCCAAGTCAATAATGAAAATATTGAATAGTACTGAACCCAGGACTGTGGAACCCCACTAGATACGCCCCCATGGAAATCCACTAGATGCACCCTCCCAGTTTGACTACAAGCCACTGATGACTACTTTTTGAGTACGGTTTTTCAGCCAGCTGTGCATGGACCTTACATAGTTGCATCTAGACCACATTTCCCTAGTTTGTTTATGAGAATGTCATGTGAGACACTATCAAAAGCCTTACTACAATCAAGATATATCATGTCTATTGCTTTCCCCACCCCCATCCATTAGGCCAGTAACTTTGTCAAAGAAGGAAATTAGGTTGGTTTGGCATGATTTGTTCTTGACAAATCCATCCTGGCTATTCCTAATAACTCTATTATCTGGTGGGTGCTTACAAACTGATTGTTTAATAATGTGTTCCAGTATTTTTCCAAGTAACAAAGTTAGGCTGACCGGTCTATAATTCCCTGTGTTCTCTTTGATCCAAGAGTAGGGTCAGCACAGAAATATCAACTGCTGGAAGGGTGGGGACCCAGGAGGAGGGAAGAAAGGCAGTTAACAAGGTGAGTCCTTGATGGAAGAGCCCAGAGCTTTTAGAGGAAAAGAGGCCCCACCCATTAGCCTGCCAGAGTCTCCTCTGCAATTATCCTTGCAGAATGGCCAGAGGCTCATTGTGACTAAGAGCTTTTATATGGACAGCAAGGCCATTATTCTTCCTAAGATGGTTGGAAGAAAAACCATGAGGGAGCTGGTAAGACAGCAGGTCTTTTACATCCCTCCCCATTTCTCCACTGTGAGTTTCCTTGCTGGGCATAGTCCTTGAGGAAACCCCAGATGAATTTTGATAGAATGATGCCTGTGAGCTGTTCTCACATTTGCAGCCTTTAACATGTTCCTGGAGTGGGGGGCAAGAGGTGGCACTTAATGTCCCTGGCACATTAGTTGGGTGATTTCCTTTTCATGGGCCCCCAAGGACGTGGGCATTGTGAGGCATTGCTGGGCCATTTCTTAGTCTCATGGATAGGCTCACTGTTCCACAAGGATGGGACCACTATTGCTTATTTACATATTGAACTGGACACTGACACAGGAAGCTTGGATTCCTAAGGACAAGATCAATGCACTAAGGGAACGTATGGCAAGATTTAAAAAAGGAGGCCAAGGTAATGTGGAAGAAAAGCTACCCTCTCATGTTTCCTTGTACACAGTGGTTGTGCACTGTATTTCCTCCTCATTTCTTCTTCCACTGTTTTTTTACAGTTACACCCTCTGCTTCATCTAACTACATTTTTTTTTAGGGCAGGCTGGGGCACCTTGTTTAGTTTCCTTTTCTTATCATAACTCTTTGTGTGTCAACCAGCCTTCTGTGCCATTGTATGCTGGAGGGCAACATACAGCCCTTAGGAAATATATGATGATAAAATAATCATCACTGATGTCATCAGTCACTGGGTTTGCTTTAATGCTTGTTTTACTGTATCCTGTATCTCATCATGGTGCCATTTCCCTAACTCACTGCCACAGGCTACTAGTCCAACACAAAACTCAGTCACAATACATAGGGGAAATTCAGTGCACAGTTGCTGAGCTATTGTAGAAGATGTCATGTTAGAAATTTGGCTAATTGCTGTCTCTCTTTTCAGGAGGAATCCATTAGGCAGACATCCATCTGCATAATTATGAAATAACTGTTTTTTTTTGTCATCCTGTCCTTAATCTCTCCACTTGCATTTCTTCTATTGGCTGATTTCATTCTCCTCCAGCCCATTAGACTAACAAACCTTTAAGAAACTGAACTTCATGACAAGGTAGGTTTTTCCAAGCTCTTCCAAACCCACTCTTTGGCTATTGATAGTACTTACGAACATGTCCTCAATGCCACTGTACTTAGCAATATATCATCTTTCTCTCCTGCATCTGTTCTCTGTAAGTGGAAACATTACCACATGCTGGCTGGATTACAAAATCCAAACGATACCACACAAAACAGGAGCAACTGCCAAGCAGAAAACAGTTGTTGCCACTTTTATTTTCTTTGTGTCACAGCTGTTAATCTCTTCCTTTATTGGTGCTGTTGCTAAGCGTAGCTCTGAATTAAGGGGATCTAGGCAGTCTCAAGCCAACAAAAAATAGACTAATTTTTGCCTAGAAAAAGGAGAGAATATCTTTTCAGATCATTTACCACTTGAGGTAATAAACTGGAAAGACAGTTAGGTTACTGCAGTTGTATGTGTTTCAGCAATGCTTTTTTGAATAGACATGTACAATAAATCAGCCTCATGGAAATGTAGGGCTGGAAGGGACATCAAGAGGTCACCCTACCATCCCTAAACTGTTGTACAGTACAATGTCTTTGGCCTACGGGCGATGCACTTTCCATATTCTTTCAGATGGAATAAAATATCACACACTACAGCTCAGATCCTCAGCTGACTGGTGGGCACCACAGAATTCAGTCAAGCATTGATTTACATAAGCAGAGGATATGGGCCATCCTTATTGGCATGTTGCAACAAGGATCGGGAGGAGCAGAGGTGTTGTGAACTCCCATAGCCTAGCCATGTACCATCCTTTTCACTTTTCATGTCCTCTCTCCCCTAGGACTTGCCCTTGCCCCCTCTGGGATGAAGTAGATGTTGAGCGGAATTTTAGGCCTAGGCATAATTTCCACTATGTTAGAAGTATTGCAACCAAACTAGAGCACCCAGCGGTATGTTAAAGTGCAGTAGAATGTATGTGCCTGCCAGTTGTTTATAAACCCAAGGACTGTTAAGATATCCTCTATTTGCAGAGTGAATTCAATATGAAATGTAAAGTGTTGCTGCAAACTAAGGTGAAAGTGTGCGATGCTATTTCTTAAAGCAGAACAGTGAAGCTGTTGTCTTCTCTGATCAGTGTATGCCCCAGAGCTTGCCCGTGCGAGTGCAGCTTATGGAACTGAAGGAGTGGGAGAGCGAGTGCTAGCAAAGATTTCCATAAAATTGGTCAAATGGATTCAGTTATTTCTGTGGTCATTCTGGAGACCATAGCTGGAGCTGTGGCAGCCAGCCAGCTCAGCTGTTAATTCTACAACAAAAACAAAATGCAAGAGTCGAGCACACACAATGCCATAATCAAATTCAGTGGTAGCTAGCGCCCATGGTGGCACACTAATCTCAAATTGTCGTATCAAAACAAGGTGCCACATCAGCTGCTGCCAATCCTTTTTGCCTAAATATACCCAGGGAAAACCCTGGCTGGAGGACAGCGGGAAAGGGTACAAATGGTAACTTTGGAGGGCGGGGGAGTAGTGATCCACCTCTTCTCCTACAGCTTCTTGGGATAAGTCTTTTTTCCTCTTTGTTTTCCCCTGGATGTAAGCAGAGTCAGGATGAGCTCTACCCTGACATCTGGTGGCGAGTCATGGTGGGTTGTGGAAAAGAACTTCAGGGGCTGATCTCATTTGCATAGGCACACCCACCCTGCCTAGATGGTCACTTTGGCTGCTGTAGGAGCCCCAGTTTCTCTGTTGTTGGGGCAGGAATAAACTGTTGTTATCCTGATTATGTGAATCAAGGACAGTGGAACTGTACTTGGCCTTTTGTTATGATGGAGGGACTCACCATCAACTAAGGAGCACTCGCTAGGCAAGGGTCATGGGTTCCAAAACCCAGTGAATGGAGAGAGGCTGGGGATAGGTATTAATACCTGGTGGTATGGGTCCTATGGTGAGGGCCTTACATGCTAATTGCACTTCCTCCTCTCTCCACTGTGGAATATCAGAGCTAATTTTGATTCTATTAGGAATCTAGTTACAGGCTGCTGAGCTGAATTCACTTTGGGCCAATGGTGCATCAGCACTGAGGCTCCCCTACTACAAGCTGAAATCACAAATGAGCTAAACTTACAAAGAGCTGAAATCTCTGAGTGTTGTGTTAAGTAGTGGGGGAGCCTGAAGATATATTGCAGAGCAGTTTGTGGGATGGCTGGCAGAGCAGAGCGGCTGGTGGAGCGGAGCAAGTTTTGGGATGCCTGGAGCAGCTCATGGGGGCGGCTGGCAGAGCAGAGCGATTCGTGGGACGGCTGGTGGGGTGGAGCGGAGCCCTATGGAGAGGTGGGGCAATTGGCTTTGGGCCACGCAAGGTGCCCCTTAACATCCCCCCACCATCTCCACCCAGGTTGGGAAGTAAAACTCCGCAGATAAACTTTCGAATTCTGGGGCTGCACTGACCAGGGACAGAGATTTTTGGGGTGTTGGACTTTTGGGACTTCGGGTGATTTTGGGTTGCTGCACTCAAGAACGAAAAGGGAAAGGACATGCCCCAATTTGCTTGAGGTGGGTTTTTTGCTCATGAGTTGTGTTAGGAATCCTGTTTGGTGTTTCTCCAACATAATGCCACATTGTTTCTCTCTGTTATTAAAAGGCTTTGCTACACTCAGACTCTGTGCTTGGGAGAGGGAAGTATTGCCTCTTGGAGGCGTCCAGCGGGGTGGTATATATTTGTCCCAGGTCACTGGGTGGGGGCTCGAGATGGTTTTGCATTGTGTTATTGGAATGGAACCCCTAGATACTGAACCCGGCCCTTGTTGCTGCCAACTCTGATGGGCAGAAGGGTTACACTATATAATTTGACTACTCAGATTCAGGGGTTAGTATATACAAACTCTGGTGCCTATATCACAATGATAGAGAAACACATGGCCCAACTTTGTACGATTTCTGTTGAAGTCAAGGGATTTGATTCTTCTCTGACTTACTACAATTGTATGGTGGTGTATTCTAGTGATTTCAGTAGTGTTACTCCTGACTGAGGTGGTGATAGCAGGTTTGCAGGTGCTGGAAGGGATATACGGAATGTTTTTGAATAGCTCCACTCTTTCTTTCAGAGACATATGGGACAGAAGTTTTGGGTAGCTGTGTATGTTTCCTGAAGACTCTTACATGGCATCACTCCTCATATTCAGCATGCACATGGTAGCCACACCAGTGATGATATAATTAAATTATACACACAATCATAGAAATGTAGGGTTGGAAGAGACCTCAAGAGATCATCTAGTCAGATGCGTGTAAAATCTTTAATAATAGAAAAAGGCACAGAGATCCCTTTCCCACTGATCTCATGTAAATAACAGGTATGTGAACATCTGTCATGCCCATGACACTATCTGATGGTGAGACAAATATCCTACTCATGCACAGTAAGGCATCAGAATCCCATTTTGGGCAACCAGGTCTAAAGCCTAAAGCCTGCGCTGCTGTCAGTGGATTGGGAGTGTTCTCCAGGGGACCCTAGGTTGGGGGTTGCAGTGTAGGGGAGCCATGACTCCATAGCATCCTTTTCCTTCGAAACATAATAGCAGGAGTGGGTGCAATGGAATTTTGGGAGCAGAAAAGGGGTATTATGCCTGGCATTATCCTCTGTTGGCTCCATCACTATTCCGATGGGTACAGTCTGCAGCTGCTACTATGCAGCAGAGAAGGAAACGAAGAACCAGAGCTGTTTCACAGAAAAGCTTGGCCCTTCATGGATTGGAAGTGCTGTTCCCTAAATTTTGGGGATCCACACAATGGAGCGGCTGTACCTTAGCCTTTTCCACAGCTCCCCTGGCCCTCTTGAGGAGAAAATTTGATAGAGAATCATGAGGTGAGCCTCATGGAGTTACTGGGCTGCCTCCTCACTTCCAAGGGGGTATTTCCATGGCAGGGTAACAACTTGCAAGCAAATTACCATGTTGGGAGGGTTTTCTTGAATCATAGAATATCAGGGCTGGAAGGGACCTCAGGAGGTCATCTAGTCCAACCCCCTGCTCAAAGCAAGGCCAATCCCCAACTAAATCATCCCAGCCAGGGCTTTGTCAAGCTTGACCTTGAAAACCTCTAATGAAGGAGATTCCACCACCTCCCTAGGTAACGCATTCCAGTGCTTTACCACCCTCCTAGTGAAAAAGTTTTTCCTAATATCCAACCTAAACCTCCCTCACTGCAACTTGAGACTATTACTCCTTGTTCTGTCATCTGCTACCATTGAGAACAGTCTAGATCCATCCTCTTTGGAACCCCCTTTCAGGTAGTTGAAAGCAGCTATCAAATCCCCCCTCATTCTTCTCTTCCGCAGACTAAACAATCCCAGTTCCCTCAGCCTCTCCTCATAAGTCATGTGTTCCAGTCCCCTAATCATTTTTGTTGCCCTCTGCTAGACTCTTTCCAATTTTTCCATATCCTTCTTGTAGTATGGGGCCCAAAACTGGAAACAGTACTCCAGATGAGGCCTCACCAGTGTTGAATAGAAGGGAATGATCATGTCCCTCCATCTGCTGGCAGTGCCCCTACTTGTGAGTCAACAAGGGCACACTGTTGACTCATATCCAGCTTTTCGTCCACTGTAACTCCTAGGTCCTTTTCTGCAGAACTGCTGCCTAGCCATTCGGTCCCTAATCTATAGCAGTGCATGGGATTCTTCTGTCCTAAATGCAGGACTCTGTACTTGTTCCTGTTGAATCTCATCAGATTTCTTTTGGCCCAATCTTCTAATTTGTCTAGGTGCCTCTGTATCCTATCCCTACCCTCCAGCGTATCTACCACTCCTCCCAGTTTAGTGTCCTCTGCAAACTTGCTGAGGGTGCAGTCCACGCCATCCTCCCGATCATTAATGAAGATATTGAACAAAACTGGCCCCAGGACCGACCCTTGGGGCACTCTGCTTGATACCGGCTGCCAACTAGACATGGAGCCATTGATCACCACCTACTGAGCTCGATGATCTAGCCAGCTTTCTATCCACCTCTGTTGATTGGCTCTCCAGAGGACCAGGCAATGCTGTAAAGCACAAACGTACATTTCCTCCTGAAAATTGCCCACATCACCCATGGTTTTTCTCTGTAGTTAGATGCATGATGACCTAGGACTATGCAAGTAATTAATGGACTAGTCACTAAATGAATGTGATTGTTTGTGCTGAACTATAAATAGAAGTAGTACAAATGGGAAAGTGCCTGTGATGTTACCCGATTGGTTTCATTACTCCGTTAGTTTGGCATATTTCTAGGGCTGGTGTTAATGAAAGGGGAGTATTGCCTCAGGAAAATGCAGGGCCATCAGTGAGACTTCTGTAATAAACATTAGGATGCAGTCTGGGCTAGGAATATTTAAGGGAGATATATTCTGTGCTATGATCTGATCTGTTGGGACCAATATATATTACTTATTAGCTTTTTATTTAAATATTGTGTAGCAGGGAGGGGGAAGGGTGACTCTTAGGATTTCCTATTTGGGGTTACAAATTTTCTATAAAACAGTTGATAAGCAGCAGCCTGTTTGCTTGATTGGAAGCTCCAATATATATTGTGAATCTCATATCAGTGACTCATTCATTTTTCACATTGCTGTTAAGTAGACCTGGATACCTCCATGCTGGAGGGCTACATCTAGCTGCTCAGGAGTGGAATTAATATCTGTCAACTTCTCCTGCTTTATGAGGACAATACAATTAAGTTGTATTCTGAAACCGGGAAAAAATGAGTCTGTGTGTCTCTCCCCTCCAGCTCTTTAATAAGGTTCTCTGCTTCAGATCCAGTTATAGACCTTTCACAAAATCATTGCTTTGTTTGTGTTTGTATGCACTATTGTTTTAGCCGTGTCGGTTTCAGGACATTAGAGAAACAAGATGGGTGAGGTGATACCTTTTATTGGACCAACTTCTTGAGCTACAAAGAGCTCTTTTTTCTGACCTGTGTAAGCTCTAAAGCTTGTCTGTCTCACCAACAGAAGTTGGTCCAATAAATGATACTACCTCACCCGCTTTGTCTCTTTAAATTAAAATTGGCCACTTTATGATTACTCTAATTTACACCTTTCTGTTCTCTCCTATTCATGGCTTTTCCTGCTACGCCTCTCTTCCAAATCCTCAGCAACATCAGTATAGGCTCCTGGTGTGAATTACACCATGACCAATCAATTTAGTGTAATGTGTAAACTGAGAAAGCCAGAAGGTTAAATTACATCAAGTTAGCCTCCCTTAGATTCACCCAGACTCATCTCTAAACTTATTCCTGCATCTCTATTCCTTATTCAGGAAGGAATAAGGGCCATATTCCAGCTTTGGATACATATGTCAGTGGGAGCCCTCTGAAAGGCTGTCTGAAGCCAGGACTTTACTCTACAGATATAGAGTTAACTCTGAACCTGTAAATCTCATGGATTTGCCAGCATGCCTGTGTTGCTCACTGTTTAAACATGAAGAGGTTTTTTTCAGTATTGTGTTTTGGAAATGCTTAAGCTGATGACTATTCCATAGGGATCTCATTTTAAAGAGAGTCAGGTGGCAAAGCTTTCTCACCATTCATAAAAATGGCAAAAGAGGGTAGATAGATAGGAACCCTTGTAGATGTTCCACAGATTTTCTCAAGTAAATAGTTCTGTGAGAGCTGTGGATATTAAATACAGTGTCCAACAGACACAGCTTCTCCACAGGGATCAAGTCAGAGCTACCAGAATCAGAACTCTTTGCCTTGGTTACTTCTCTCTGCTCCTACAGTAATAAACAAATCTAGGTTTCAGCAACACCTACCTTTAGGCAATATGGACGCAAATAACTGCTAGTCCTACATACCAGGATAGATTTTGATTATTGAAAAGAAGATCAAGAGGTGAATTGATCATGGTCTATAAGTATCTTCAGAGGGAAAAGATATCTGACACTAGAGAGCTCTTTAGTCAAGCAGGAAAAGGCATAATGAGATCCAGGAGTTGGAAGTTGAAATGAGACAAACAAACTTAACTGGGAAATAAGTGGAATTTTTGAAGTGAGAGTAATTACCCACTGGAACAGCATACTAACGCATGTCTTGTCATTTCAGGTCTTTAAATCAAGGCTGGATGCCTTTCTAAAAAAAATCCCGTAGTTTAACCACAGGTTATTGGACACGATGTGGGAACTATTGGATGGAATTCTGTGGCCTGGGTTATGTAGGGGGTCAGACTTGATGAACACAGTGGTCCTTTCTGGCTTTAAAATTTATGAATCTATTAAGAGAAACTTTCATAAACAGAAAGAAGCTCACAATGATGTTGTCAAGCAGGGGTGGCCAACCTGAGGCTGAGGAAGAGCCAGAATTTACCAATGTACATTGCCAAAGAGCCACAGTAATATGTCAGCAGCCGTGCCATCAAAGCCCCCCCGCTCCCAGCGCCTCCCACCCACCGGCAGACCTGCCAATCAATGCCTCCCCTTCCCTTCCGATCAGGTGTTTTGTGGTGTGCAGGAGGCTCTGAGGGGGAGGAGAGAGGGCACTGCAGGCTCAGGGGAGGCAGCGGGAAGGGGTGGAGTGGGGGCAGGGCCTGTGGCAGAGCCAGGGGTTGAGCAGTGAGCACCCCCCAGCCCATTGGAAAGTTGACGCCTGTAGTTCCAGCCCTGGAGTCGGTGCCTATACAAGGAGTCGCATATTAACTTCTGAAAAGCCACATTTGGCTCCGGAGCCACAGGTTGGCGACCCCTGTTTTCAAGGATGCCTCAACTAAGCTCTCAGAAACTGAGTGACAACTCCCCAACAGCAAATAAAAGGTGCATGGTCCTGAATGCACTCTAATAACTGCCAGTGGATTGTACCTAGAGGGAATAATTGTTGGCTATATATGTCCTGGCTATGCATAGGCAACAGATAATTGCTAATGAGACAGGTTATCTTTCACACAAAGTCAAGAATGCTTTTCAAGCACGCAAAAAAAAAAAAAAAAGTAAAATCCCTTATCTTGCATTGCTGCATATAAAAGATTCGATATGGAATAACTGTTCAAAATACCATTTCACAAGGAGATTACTAGAAATGGATTCCTTGAATAGAAAATAAGATTTTTATAATCCTTTAGTAATTTGTTGTTTTGATCTTTGCATTTAATTTTTTTAATTGTAGGTGGCAAATGTTAGATGGGTAGTATAAGGTGGGTGGGATGATGGTGAGTGATGCAGGAATTTATAGTAGTGGGAACTAGTTGAATCCTTTAACTGATCACTTCCGGATTAAGGGCCTGATTCTCATTCATGGTTAGGTCCCTTTATACTGCTCTTGCAGCCTATCGAAGGGGTGGCCTTAGCGTGGGTGTCATGTAATTTAGTCTCATTTTAAGGCTTCTTTATATTACCAGACCAGTGTAAAAGGGGGCTTAGTGTAAATGAAAATCAGGCCCTTAACCTTTGGGTTTTTTAGTTGTCTCAGAGACACAATTCCTTCCCTGGACTGCTCCTGGGGCAGCACAGCTTCTATTGGCTAGAAGCAATGTTTCAATCTGGCCCTTAATAAATAACATCTTTTTTTTAAGTTCAATATCTGTATTTTATTAAATTTTACAGAACTGCATGTACTGTATTAGAAGACAGAATTGCATTAGTGATACATAATTTCATTTCTGGTCAGACTTCAAATAATTTCCATATTCCTGTGAAACTAATCTCAAGTCACTGTGCTTCATCTTCCACACTATCTGTCTTTCTGAGATGTAATATAAAAACACTCCCCACACAAAACACAGGGCATACAGAGTATTAATTAATAAAGTATAGCAATAGACCCCGAGGAATCATAGACTATTCACTTACTTGCACAAGAATAAAATGCCACTCTCTTCATTTAGGCTGATGCGAATGCTCATTTATGTTCTTCCTTTCATCCCAAAAGGATCCTGATGTATTTTACAAACTGATATAAATACTCTTTATAGGCATAACTGCATCCACTGAAACACAGTGGTTTAGGTGAAATGTGGCAACTCATTAACAAGTGCACAGAAACTACTCAACTTTACATTTGAAATTTCCAGGAGAGGCTAAATAGGCAAGATTACCCAAATTGGATCTTGGTCATGACAGGTTAAACCCAATCTATCTACTGCTCTTACATAGATTTTCATGGAAAATGCCATGTTAACAATGCCATATAATCAAAAGATGGCAACGCCAGTATTAGCCCTGGTCTACACTAGGACTTTAGGTCGAATTTAGCAGCGTTAAATCGATGTAAACCTGCACCCGTCCACACAATGAAGCCCTTTATTTCGACTTAAAGGGCTCTTAAAATTGATTTCCTTACTCCACCCCTGACAAGTGGATTAGCGCTTAAATCGACGTTGCCGGCTCGAATTTGGGGTACTGTGGACACAATTCGATGGTATTGGCCTCCGGGAGCTATCCCAGAGTGCTCCATTATGACCGCTCTGGACAGCACTCTCAACTCAGATGCACTGGCCAGGTAGACAGGAAAAGAACCGCGAACTTTTGAATCTCATTTCCTGTTTGGCCAGCGTGGCAAGCTGCAGGTGACCATGCAGAGCTCATCAGCAGAGGTGACCATGATGGAGTCCCAGAATCGCAAAAGAGCTCCAGCATGGACCGAACGGGAGGTATGGGATCTGATCGCTGTTTGGGGAGAGGAATCCGTGCTATCAGAACTCCGTTCCAGTTTTCGAAATGCCAAAACCTTTGTGAAAATCTCCCAGGGCATGAAGGACAGAGGCCATAACAGGGACCCGAAGCAGTGCGGCGTGAAACTGAAGGAGCTGAGGCAAGCCTACCAGAAAACCAGAGAGGCAAACAGCCGCTCTGGGTCAGAGCCCCAAACACGCCGCTTCTATGATGAGCTGCATGCCATTTTAGGGGGTTCAGCCACCGCTACCCCAGCCGTGTTGTTTGACTCCTTCAATGGAGATGGAGGCAATACGGAAGCAGGTTTTGGGGACGAAGAAGATGAGGAGGAGGAGGAGGTTGTAGATAGCTCACAGCAAGCAAGCGGAGAAACCGGTTTTCCTGACAGCCAGGAACTGTTTCTCACCCTGGACCTGGAGCCAGTACCCCCCGAACCCACCCAAGGCTGCCTCCTGGACCCAGCAGGCGGAGAAGGGACCTCTGGTGAGTGTACATTTTAAAATACTATACATGGTTTAAAAGCAAGCATGTGAAAGGATTACTTTGCCCTGGCATTTGCGGTTCTCCTAGATGTAGTCCTAAAGCCTTTGCAAAAGGTTTCTGGGGAGGGCAGCCTTATTGCGTCCTTCATGGTAGGACACTTTACCACTCCAGGCCAGTAACACGTAGTCGGGAATCATTGTAGAACAAAGCATTGCAGTGTATGTTTGCTGGCATTCAAACAACATCCGTTCTTTATCTCTCTGTGTTATCCTCAGGAGAGTGAGATATAATTCATGGTCACCTGGTTGAAATAGAATGCTTTTCTTCAGGGGACACTCAGAGGAGCCCATTCCTGCTGGGCTGTTTGCCTGTGGCTAAACAGAAATGTTCCCCGCTGTTAGCCACAGGGAGGGGGGAAGGTTGAGGGGGTAGTCACGCGGTGGGAGGAGGCAAAATGCGACCTTGTAACGAAAGCACATGTGCTATGTATGTAATGTTAACAGCAAGGTTTACCCTGAAAGAGTGTAGCCACTGTTTTATAAAATGTGTCTTTTTAAATACCGCTGTCCCTTTTTTTTTCTCCACCAGCTGCATGTGTTTCAATGATCACAGGATCTTCTCCTTCCCAGAGGCTAGTGAAGCTTAGAAAGAAAAAAAAACGCACTCGCGATGAAATGTTCTCCGAGCTCATGCTGTCCTCCCACACTGACAGAGCACAGACGAATGCGTGGAGGCAAATAATGTCAGAGTGCAGGAAAGCACAAAATGACCGGGAGGAGAGGTGGCGGGCTGAAGAGAGTAAGCGGCGGGCTGAAGACAGGGCTAAAGACAGGGCTGAAGCTCAAATGTGGCGGCAGCGTGATGAGAGGAGGCAGGATTCAATGCTGAGGCTGCTGCAGGCCCAAACCAGTATGCTCCAGTGTATGGTTGAGCTGCAGCAAAGGCAGCTGGAGCACAGACTGCCACTGCAGCCCCTCTGTAACCAACCGCCCTCCTCCCCAAGTTCCATAGCCTCCACACCCAGACGCCCAAGAACGCGGTGGGGGGGCCTCCAGCCAACCAGCCACTCCACCACAGAGGATTGCCCAAAAAAAAGAAGGCTGTCATTCAATAAATTTTAAAGTTGTAAACTTTTAAAGTGCTGTGTGGCATTTTCCTTCCCTCCTCCACCACCCCTCCTGGGCTACCTTGGTAGTCATCCCTCTATTTGTGTGATGAATGAATAAAGAATGCATGAATGTGAAGCAACAATGACTTTATTGCCTCTGCAAGTGGTGATTGAAGGGAGGAGGAGCGGGTGGTTAGCTTACAGGGAAGTAGAGTGAACCAAGGGGCGGGGGGTTTCATCAAGGAGAAACAAACAGAACTTTCACACCGTAGCCTGGCCAGTCATGAAACTGGTTTTCAAAGCTTCTCTGATGCGTACCGCGCCCTCCTGTGCTCTTCTAACCGCCCTGGTGTCTGGCTGCGCGTAACCAGCAGCCAGGCGATTTGCCTCAACCTCCCACCCCGCCATAAACGTCTCCCCCTTACTCTCACAGATATTGTGGAGCACACAGCAAGCAGTAATAACAGTGGGAATATTGGTTTCGCTGAGGTCTAAGCGAGTCAGTAAACTGCGCCAGCGCGCCTTTAAACGTCCAAATGCACATTCTACCACCATTCTGCACTTGCTCAGCCTGTAGTTGAACAGCTCCTGACTACTGTCCAGGCTGCCTGTGTACGGCTTCATGAGCCATGGCATTAAGGGGTAGGCTGGGTCCCCAAGGATACATATAGGCATTTCAACATCCCCAACAGTTATTTTCTGGTCTGGGAATAAAGTCCCTTCCTGCAGCTTTTGAAACAGACCAGAGTTCCTGAAGATGCGAGCATCATGCACCTTTCCCGGCCATCCCACGTTGATGTTGGTGAAACGTCCCTTGTGATCCACCAGAGCTTGCAGCACTATCGAAAAGTACCCCTTGCGGTTTATGTACTCGGCGGCTTGGTGCTCCGATGCCAAGATAGGGATATGGGTTCCGTCTATAGCCCCACCACAGTTAGGGAATCCCATTGCAGCAAAGCCATCCACTATGACCTGCACATTTCCCAGGGTCACTACCCTTGATATCAGCAGATCTTTGATTGTGTGGGCTACTTGCATCACAGCAGCCCCCACAGTAGATTTGCCCACTCCAAATTGATTCCCAACTGACCGGTAGCTGTCTGGCATTGCAAGCTTCCACAGGGCTATCGCCACTCGCTTCTCAACTGTGAGGGCTGCTCTCATCTTGGTATTCATGCACCTCAGGGCAGGGGAAAGCAAGTCACAAAGTTCCATGAAAGTGCCCTTACTCATGCGAAAGTTTCGCAGCCACTGGGAATCGTCCCAGACCTGCAACACTATGTGGTCCCACCAGTCTGTGCTTGTTTCCCGAGCCCAGAATCGGCGTTCCACAGCATGAACCTGCCCCATTAGCACCATGATGCATGCATTGGCAGGGCCCATGCTTTCAGAGAAATCTGTGTCCATGTCCTGATCACTCACGTGACCGCGCTGACGTCGCCTCCTCGCCCGGTATTGCTTTGCCAGGTTCTGGTGCTGCATATTACTGCTGGATAATGCGTGTGGTATTTAATGTGCTCCTAATTGCCAAAGTGAGCTGAGCGGCCTCCATGCTTGCCTTGGTATGGCGTCCGCACAGAAAAAAGGCGCGGAACGATTGTCTGCCGTTGCTCTGACGGAGGGAGGGGCGACTGACGACACGGCTTACAGGGTTGGCTTCAGGGAGCTAAAATCAACAAAGGGGGTGGCTTTACATCAAGGAGTATTTCAGGCAGGACTTCACGGAGGGTTCCAATAAGAAATGGTGCACCTAAGTTATCGTTCTTATTGGAACAAGGAGGTTAGCCTGGCCTCTGATTGATACATGGCTAGATTTACCTCGCTGCACCTTCTCTGTGAGTGACTGCAGTGTGACCTAGAGGAATGAGTCCCCTAGACAGGGGAGGAGGCAAATGAGTACAAAACAAATCTGGTCTATTTCTTGTTTTGACCCACTCCATCTATCTTTTACATCTTTGGCTGGCAGCAGACGGTGCAGAAGGACTGCATGCCATCCACATCTCATGGCTGCTCGGCAGAAGATGGTACAGTACGACTGCTAGCCATCCTCATCTCTTGCCTGCCTGGCAGAAGATGGTACAATACGACTACTACCAATCCTCATCTCTTGCCTGCCTGGCAGAAGATGGTACAGTACGACTGCTAGCAGTCCGTATCACCTGCCCGCTCACCATAAGACGGTTCAATAGGACTGACTGCAGGACTAAAGAGAATGACCTGGTCAAGTCACTCCAAATTTAGTCCCTGCGCCCATGTCTGCCCAGGCGCTCCCAGCCGACGTGGCCAGGAGCACCTCGGACACGACGAGGACGACTACCAATCGTATTGCACCGTCTGCTGCCAGAAGGCAATGGGTTGCTGCTACTGTGCAGCAAAGCCGTACCGCGTCTGCCAGCACCCAGGAGACATAGGGTGACGGTTGCCTGAGCGGGCTCCATGCTTGCCGTGGTATGGCGTCTGCACAGGTAACTCAGGAAAAAAGGCGCAAAATGATTGTCTGCCCTTGCTTTCACGGAGGGAGGGAGGGAACGGGGGCCTGACGATACGTACCCAGAACCACCCGCGACAATGTTTTAGCCCCATCAGAGTGCTCCATTGTGACTGCTCTGGACAGCACTCTCAGATGCCCGATTGTTTGCCGTTGCTCTGACGCCGGGAGGGGCGACTGAGGACACGGCTTACAGGGTTGGCTTCAGGGAGCTAAAATCAACAAAGGGGGTGGCTTTACATCAAGGAGTATTTCAGGCAGGACTTCACGGAGGGTTCCAATAAGAAATGGTGCACCTAAGTTATCGTTCTTATTGGAACAAGAAGGTTAGCCTGGCCTCTGATTGATACATGGCTAGATTTACCTCGCTGCACCTTCTCTGTGAGTGACTGCAGTGTGACCTAGAAGAATGAGTCCCCTAGACAGGGGATGGGGGGAAGCAAATGAGTACAAAACAAATCTGGTCTATTTCTTGTTTTGATCCACTCCATCTATCTTTTACATCTTTGGCTGGCAGCAGACGGTGCAGAAGGACTGCATGCCATCCACATCTCATGGCTGCTCGGCAGAAGATGGTACAGTACGACTGCTAAAAGTCCGTATCGCCTGCCCGCTCACCATAAGACGGTTCAATAGGACTGACTGCAGGACTAAAGAGAATGACCTGGTCAAGTCACTCCAAATTTAGTCCCTGCGCCCATGTCTGCCCAGGCGCTCCCAGCCGACGTGGCCAGGAGCACCTCGGACATGACGATGACGGCTACTAGTCGTACTGTACCGTCTGCTGCCACAAGGCAAGGGGTTGCTGCTACTGTGTAGCAATGCCGTACCGCGTCTGCCAGCACCCAGGAGACATAGGGTGACGGTTACCTGAGCGGGCTCCATGCTTGCCGTGGTATGGCGTCTGCACAGGTAACTCAGGAAAAAAGGCGCGAAACTGCCCTTGCTTTCACGGAGGGAGGGAGGGAACGGGGGCCTGATGATATGTACCCAGAACCACCCGCGACAATGTTTTAGCCCCATCAGGCATTGGGATCTCAACCCAGAATTCCAATGGGCATCGGAGACTGCGGGAACTGTGGGATAGCTACCCACAGTGCAACGCTCTGGAAGTCGACTCTAGCCTCGGTACTGTGGAAGCGCTCCGCCGAGTTAATGCACTTAATGCACTTAGAGCATTTTCTGTGGGGACACACACACTCGAATATATAAAACTGATTTCTAAAAAACCGACTTCTATAAATTCGACCTTATTCCGTAGTGTAGACATACCCCCACTGTGGCTCCCAACACCATGTTGAAGATGCTGATTCAGTATTGATTCAAAAGATGGAATGCCACAACTGAGGAGTTGGTCTATACAGGAAAGTTTTCCTAGTTATACTGGTGTAATTATACCAGTATAATTCCCTGTGTGGACATTCTTAGTCTGGAATAAGAGTGGCTGCTTTCAGTTTAACTTAAATCCCTTCCATAGTGACAAACTTAAACTGGAAAAGGCATTCTTATTCCAGAAGAAGTGTGTCCATATACCAATGTAACTGTATCCGTTTAAATTCACCTTAGCTTATAACAGTATCATTTCTCCAGGGAGACAAGCTCTGAATCACCAACACCAGTATCTGCAGCACATAAATGATCTTCATTGTTTTCCATCCTAGCACTGACTTGGCCAGACCCTGTTGTGCTTGTAAGACCTCATGTGGTCACAGCACAGACTTGTGGCTGATGAGAAAGAAGAGAGGTAATTCAGTGGTACAATTCAGTCCACAAATAGAATTACCACACTGGATCTATTCAGAATCTGGGCCTACAAATCAATGTGCAAAAATTGACAGTAACACTGGTACAGAGGTTAGAATTCATAGATGGAGTTGAGGTCATCTCCTGGGTGAGGGCACTTCTCTCACATCACAGATTCCTCAGCTTCTCCACACTTTTAGAGAGAGTGCAGTCCAGCCCCAAAATTTCAGCCGGACACTGTCTCCAGCTTCTGGGCCATATGGCCGAAGGCACATCAGTTATAGCTCGTGCAGGACTGCGCATGAGATGCCTGCAAGCATGGTTCGTTTTGTTTTACAGACCAAACAGAGACAACATAAATAAACTACTACCGATGCCCACCAAGATCAAACAATCGAATTGGTGGAAAGACCCAATAAATGTCTGCACAGGAATCCCGTTTGTTCAACCTCCCCAATCGCTACTCCTGACCACTGACACATCCCTCATAGGATGGGGCACACATCTCAATGATTTCTCAATGCTGTGGCAATGGTCTCCATCTGGGATATGCCTTCACATCAACCTGCTCGAACTCCGAGTGGTCAGGAATGCATGTGTTCACTTCCTCCTTCTGATCAGAGGCACACACGCCCAAGTCATGATGGACAACATGGCCTGCGTGTATTTTATAAACCGACAAGGAGGCACCAGCTCACCCTTTCTGTGCATGGAAACATTAAAACTATGGAACTGGTCACATTTCCCACAATATCAGCTGCCTGCCTACTGGGAGTGCACAACATGACATCAGACAATCTCAGCAAATTCCCCCAAAACCATGAATGGGAGATAGATTCAGTGATACTCCACGACATATTCTGGCGATGGGGGACACTGACA